ACATTTATTATTCTCAAAGAAGGCAATCAATGGCCTCCTTCCAATGGACGCTTTTCAGTGCTGATCTTATTTTAATTTATGCAGCATTTTTGTATTTTTTTCAGTGCTTTCAAGGATAAATAAAATAGAGTAGAATGTATAAATTTTAAATGTGTCTCTACCGTTTTTTAATATATGTACTCACCTCTGTGGCAACCAACCCAGTCAACATGAAAAGGCTTACTTCTTTTCATCTTAAAGAAGCTTCCTTAATTTTTGTTGTTCACGTTTTCCTGCTAGTGATGAATAATTTCGTGTTTTGCTCTCTGAAAACATTTTCATTTCACTTGCAAATTGACCAATATTTTTATTAGATAAAGAAGTGTGTATTGACTTTCTTTTAGCATTTTAAGGTTATTCCATTGTCTTCTGGCTTCCCTCATTATTTGCAACTAGTCATTTCTCATTCATACCTAAGGTTGTTTGTAAGGTTTTTCTCTTTATCTTTCGTTTTAAATAGTTTGACTGTGGTATATCCAGGCAAGCTTTTCTTTGTAATTACTCTGCCTGTTGTTCACTAAGCCTTTTAGTTCTATGATTTTGGATTTTTAACCAGGTGCTTTTTAAAAAGTTTAAAATTTAAAATTGTTTAAACTTTATTGGCTAGTCTCTGTCTCCCTCTGTGTGTGTGTGTGTGTGTGTTTGTATATATATATATTTCTACCTCAGTCTCCATTTTCTCTCCTGGGATACCAATTACATGCATACTAGACTGTCAATATTTTCTTTCAGATATTTGCTTTTCTGTTCAGTTCTGTTAAAATGATAATTTTTAAATTAAAATTAAAAAGATACTTTAAAAATTTCTTTTTATATACTTCAATTTTATTATTTCTATTGGCCTGTCACTAATAATTTCTTCTATTTAATTCAGTCTGCTATTAATCCAATCCAATAAATTCTGCATTGCAGATATTCTTAAATTAATATATTTTTGAGGGCAACTTTAGTTTCAGAGCAAATGTGAGCCTATTCTTCAAAATTCCCATAGGAGAAAATTGATGGCAGGGCTCTTACATTTCTTTCAGATTTTGATCCATTATGTCAGCCTAGCTTGACTGTTTTCCCTTTGGCCTAACAACTTTCTTTGTCAAATTGTTGGGACAATGGGAAAACAGATCCCCAGACTACCCTCAGAATGCAAGTGGCCATTGACTTGTGATAATCTAGATAAGTTTATCTAACTTTGGAATTCAGTTTCTTTAGAGTTATTTGATTCTACAACTCTTTGATGACTTAAAATACAAACATTGTGTTAGTACGTTCTCATACTGGGTTATGAAGAACTACCCAAGACTGGGCAAGTTATAAAGGAAAGAGGTTTAATTGATTCAGAGTTCCACAGGGCTGAGGAGGCCTCAGAAAACTTACAATCATGGCAAAAGCGGAAGCAAACACATCGTTCTTCACATGGTGGGAGGAGAGAGAAGTGCCGAGCAAAAGGCGGAAAAGCCCCTTATAAAACCACCACATCTTGTGAGAACTCACTCACTATCATTAGAACAGTATGGGGGTAACCACCCCCATGACTCAGTTACCTCCCACCAGGTCCCTCCCGTGACACATGGGGATTATGGGAACTAGAATTCAAAATGAGATTTGGGTAGGGACAGAGCCAAACCATATCAAACATTATTTTTAGTTTATCCATAGATATATGAAATCAATGGTCTTTTCAACCTTCTATAACCTAACCAGAAATATAAAACAGTGACCCATCTTCATCTTTTTCCTTGGCATTCAAGATGTCATAATAGCAAATTTCCCTTCTCTCTTATTGTGAACTCCTTTTCTTCCTGTTTTCTAAATGCTGGCATCCCTCAGAGCTCTTTCCTCTGTCCTATTCTTTCTCATGTACATTTTCTCTCTCAGGATGACCTTATCCAATCTCTTCCATATGTTAGTGATCCCAAAATCTATTTCTTGCCTAAGCTCAAGGGACCACATAAAAGCTTTAGGCCTTTTGAAATTTAAAATAGGTTTTAAGATTAAAGACTTTAAAAACAAAGAACAAATGGCTTCAGTTTCTAAAGAAAAGAGCAGGATTTTAAGGCAGAAGTGTTTATTTTGAAACAAACAAACAAAAAAACACAGTAATTGACAACCATGTGTTTAAAAATTTCATTATAATTTGCAGCCTAAGGAAGAACTTACAAATTTTATTCATCATCGATGATTCACAAATACAATTTTCTTTCAAGAGAGAATCGTAATTTTATAGATGAAAAAGTGAAGTCTTATAGTGGTTAAGCTGTCCTTGTAAATAGCTTCCAAAAATCACAATCAAAAATTGTAATTGGCTAATGAAACTATAAATGTTATGGCAACACTTAGATTGATCACTCCAATTTACTACTTTCTTAGAGGAAACAAATATTGTGAATATAAAATAATACTATATTGTTATACTAGAAACATACTTGTTATTAGACCTGCCATTATGTTTAGATCTTAGTATACACTAATGTTTAGTGTTATAGAAAAAGAACTTTTGCAATCTCTTACTGTCTTCTGTGGAGCTCAAATCAGCTCTGCAATAAAGCTTCCCATTCACCAAATAATTTCATCTCTCGTATAGATTAAAATTCTCGAACATTAAAAAACTTTTTAAAATGTGGTATAAATGCCTTATACATATTACAGATGAATTATTAAAAACAAAACACATGCCACCCCAGCTTTTAAAAGGGTTATATTTCACAAGTTTGGTCAGTGAAAATACCAAAGCCAGATCACTCATCCAAACAAAGTATAATAACCAAGTAAAAATGTGGCCTGTTATGCAAACAGAGCTTCCGTACAAGTTTCCTAGACCCTCCTTCCAAATACAGTCAGAAATTCTGGAGCTACTTCTCCACAGTTGTCTTTGTTTTCTCTTTATGATGCAAAATTACTTAAATCTCAATATGGCTAAAATACTAGTCTTGAATCCTGCAATATCCCTGAGATTGATTTTTTTTTTTTTTTTTTTTTTTTTTGAGACAAGGTCTCACTTTGTCACCCACGCTGCAGTGTAGTAGTGCAATCTCAGCTCACTGCAACCTCAGACTCCTGGGCTCAAGCAATCTTTCCACCTCAGCACCCCAAGTAACTGGGACTACAGGCACACACCACCACATCCTGCTAATTTTTTGTATGTTTTGTAGAAACGTTTTGCCATGTTGCCAAGGCTGGTCTGGAACTCCTGAGCTAAAGTAATTGGCCTGCCTCGACCTTCCAAAGTGCTGGGATTACAGGTATGAGCCACCACGCCTGGACTGAGCCTGAACTTTTTAAACCATAAACATTTATAATCACTGGAAATTTCAGAATAACAAATGCACATTTTAATTTTAAAAAATTTTTATTCTTTTTTAACTTTTATTTTAGAATTGCAGATACATGTACAGATTTTTAACAAAGGTATATTGTTTGACTCCTGGATTTGGAGTATGAATGAATCTGTCACCAAGTTAGTAAGTATAATATCCAACAAGTATTTTTTTAAATTCCTCCCCTTACTCACTCCTCTAGTACTGTCCAGTGTCTTGTTCCCATCTTTGTGTCCACATGTACCCCATGCTTAGCTCCCGTATAAGTGAGAACATGTATTTGTTTTTCTGTTTTTGTGTTAGTTCACTTAGGATAATTTCCTCCAGCTGCATTCATGTTGCTGCAAAAAACATGATTTCATTCTTTTTATAACTGTGTAGTATTCCGTGGTGCATATGTAACATATTTTCCTTATCCAAGTCACTGTTGATGGGCACCTGAGTTTATCCCATGCTTCTGCTATTGTGAATAGTGACTTGCATACCTTACATTTACTTTAAAGTACATCAACATTGATGTGTGATATTATGTATATGTTATTTAGTTTAAGTTATACCCTTAATTGATAATTCACTTCCCAGGGATGATCACCTAGTAGACATCAGAAAGTCCTCACTTCAGAGAAATGTACTGCAAGGACTTCAGCTATCTTTTTTTCTTGTCAGTGCTAGATTTTTGCCAATTAAGATAATGCACATAGGAAATGGGGCTTCATTTGTGAAAATCATGCTTGTATAAAAGCATAATGAATATTACGATTAGGTCCTTTTTGGTGACAGTAGTGGTATTCAAGATATGTTGTCTGAAGGTTTAGAGATACCTCCCACCCTTGCATGAAAGGATCTTTGGACACAGAGCTTGAGAATCAGATCTTACTTGCACTGGGGTCCAGATGGTGCAGTGGAGAATTCTGTTTTCCTGATGCCAGATACAATATTAGCCAAATCTTGCCTCCAGATTATTGTTACGATTGTTTCAAGTAAACCTTTTAAGCAAGGTGGTCTTCAGGGCACTTGAAAAGACTGAGAGTGGGAATGTTATCAAATTTTCAGAAGATATTGTGCATACAGTTTTGTTCACACTTGGTAAACTGTGTTTGTTTAATAATTTGGTTTGAGATTTACATTTATTATAAACTAGTAATAATGTTGTGGAGAAATAGATAAACTGCATCTCCCCAAGAACTTTTTGCAGCCACGAATATTTTCTAAAGGTACCTTAAGGGTTGCGCTGTCTCAAGTCAGTTTGCATCAACATCTGTCCATAAGCTCAGAGTCCTATCCAGAATTCCTGCAATGGACACCTTCCTGGGACTCATTTCTTAAGGATCTTCTGGGAATTAGTGTATGGAGAGGCTCTAGCAACTAAGCATCTCTTATGAAGGTGTAAAAGCTTTTGATAATTAAGGAAATGGCAGCATATTAAATAAGAATTCCAAGGGACTGCACAGCCTTTATTATTCACATAAACTATGACTAGAGACATTATAAATATAGAAGAGACTAGTGAAAGAAGGACAGATCTGCACACAGCAGAGCTTTGCATTATAGGCTGTTTGGTTTCCAGGAATGTCCAAACTTAAGGACAGAATACCTGTATTCAAACACTTTCCTTACATAATAGATCATTCATGCCTTAAAGAAATTTAATAACTTACTGAAAGAAACCACTTGTTGGTTTTCTTAGAAATAAGCAGATTTTTCTTTAAGTCATTCAGCTTTCAGAAATCCACATTATGTTGCTTAGTCACATACATTTTCAGGTCATTTACTCATAGAAAGCCATTGATACACAACCTACAACCAGTGTTCTGCTTCCTCATACGGTACCTGAACGTTTTCCTCCAAGTTCCCAGTGTCATCTTGTCTCCAGATGGTAATTTCCCTCTGGTCCTCTTCCTTCTTAAGCCCTTTCCACACCGGTCTTTGAGCAACTGGCTTATGATCACTAGCAGAAGCAAAAGAATAGAACAGAGGAAAAGAAAAACAAGACTCTTATTCAAGTACCAGAACCAAGAAAAATTCCAATTATAATGTCATTGTGTATAAAGAGCACAATATTTAAGGCAATTTTTTAAAAGGTTCCATATTGCTTTTGGTTGAAAGAAAAATAAATGAATTCATATTACCGTAGGTTTCAAAAAACGTTACTTGGGAGGATCCTAAGTATCTAACTGCATCAAAGGTAGAGCTTACTATTCAAGCTTCAAGAAAAAAAACAGAAGGGACCTTAGTAGAAAGTGCTCATGGTCTCTCTATCTGAGTCACATTGCTATAAGTTACTTTGTTTTAACTGCTTTTTTCCTCCTATGTACCAACTCAAGATTCAGATTTCTAAGGTAAATAATCATTTTGGCATTGCTGAAATTATTTTTCTATTCCTATTATCTGAAGATGAGGCATATTTTGTGCTGGGCAGACATGCTGAAGAGTGTGCAGGGGGAGAGACAACATTCCTGTAGATGAATAAAATGAAGTGTATCTGCAAAGTGAAAAAAGAAAAAGCATGAATTTACTGTGTACCATCTTGTCAATTATTTAAAATATATGATTAAAGAAAAAAGACTACTCTGTTGACGTTTCAAGTCCTTGATTACAAACCTATAATATTTGAAGTTTACATGGAGACAATTGCCATTATGAATTCCAGATATAACTGATTGATGTGTGCTTTTGAGTCTCGAAAGGTTCAAGTCAAATCTTTAAGTATTTTTAAACACTGATGAAAGATCAAAGCAATGGAAAAGTCAATGTAATGAAGAATTTTTCATGCATTTTAAAAACAGATACTAAGTTTTACAATGGCTCTTGAGGAAATGCTGTAATGTTGATGAAATGGCAATTCAGGAAAGCTAAGTCAATTCCACAAATACTTGTTGAGTATTTCTAGTCTATGCAAGCCACTAAAGCCACACACAAATAAATGAAATCTGTCCCTGTCCTCAAGGAGCTTAAAATATAATGAGGAAGATAAACTAAAATTTCAGATAACTGTAATATCAGGTAATAAGACAAGAACCATAGAAAGTTATAAATAAAATGGGATATATTATACAAAAATAGAAGGAATGGATTATGTGTAACTAAAAGGATCCAGAAAGAATTTAGGAATGAGCATAATTTGAAAAAATTTAATAAGAAAAGTCAACACTTTCTGATTACCTACACTTTTTTGGAAGTCTTACATTCATCACCTCATTTAATTCTCAACACCATTCTTTGGAGTAAATATTATTGTCCCAAATTCTTGTACAAATGGAGACCCACCCTAATAAAATAACTTGCCCAATGTCACCCAGGTGACAAGTGGTCCAGTCCTGCCTAATAATATACTGCCCATTGGTTCTTGGAGATGTGCCCTTGTAACATATGATGGTGGAAAGACTCTGCTTTCAAATAAAGATTTAGCAAAAACAACTTTGTCTTGGGTTTACTATAAAGAGATTTACAAAGGGAGAGCAAGAAAATGTAGATAAAGTAGATATGTTTTTGTCCTTTATTAAGATAAATTAAATTGGAAGAACTTCTAGTTAAATATGGTAGAGTAAAAAAATACTATCTTATTCCATTTGGGCTACCATAACAAAATACCATAGACTGGGCAGTTTATAAACAAAAGAAGTTTATTTTTCACTCTTCTAGAGCTTGGGAAGTCCAAGATCAAGGTACCAGCTGATTCAGTGTCTGACGTGAGCATCTTTCCTTCATAGATAAATGTCTTCTCACTGCAAATTCACATGGCAGAGCAAACAGGCTCTCTTTTTTTTTTTCATAATAAAGAATGCTTAAGCATTCCCTTTCTCTCTACAACCTCGTCAACATGTTGTTTTGGACTTTTTAATAATAGACATTCTGACTGGCGTGAGATGGTATCTCGTTGTGGTTTTGATTTGCATATCTCTGATGATTAGTGATGTGGAGCATTTTTTTCATATGTTTGGTGGCATTCGTATGTCTTCTTTTTAGAATTGTCTGTTCATGTCTTTTGTCCACTTTTTAATGGGCTTATTTGTTTTTCACCTGTTGATTATTTTAACTTCCTAATAGATTCTGGATATTAGACCTTTATCAGGTGCATAGTTTGAAAATATTTTCCCCTATTCTGTAGGTTGTCTGTTTACATGTTGTGTGGAAGCACCTAGTTTAATTAGGCCCCACTTAGCAATCTTTGTTTTTATTGCAACTGCTTTTGAGAATGTGGTTATAAATTCTTTGCCAAGGCTGATGTCCAAGAAAGTATTTTTTAGTTTTTTTCTAGGATTTTTTTTCTAGCATTGTTTTAGGTCTTTACATTTAAGTATTTAATCCATCTTGAGCTAATTTTTCTATATGGTGATATATAAGAGTCAGTTTCATTCTTCTGCATATGGATAGCTAATTCTCCCAGCACCATTTACTGAATAGAAAGTCCTTTCTCTATTGCTTATTTTTTTAACTTTGTCAAGGATCAGATAATTGTATGTGTATGGCTTTATTTCTGGGTTCTTTATTCTGTTCCATTTGTCTATATGTCTGTTTTTGTACTAGCACCATGCTGTTTTAGTAACTCTGACCTTGTAGTACAGTTTGAAGTTGGGTAATGTGATACCTCCCTCTAAAGGAACTAATTCTGTGTATGAATAAATCACCTCTAAAAGGACCCTACCTTCTAATACCATCATCTTAGAGGTTAGGGTTTCAACATATACATTTTGAGAGACACAAACTTCAGAACGTAGCAAGCACCTACCTATTGTTACCTTTACTCAAAACCCCCCAACAGATTTTTTTAAATAAGGGACGAATTTCTGATTGTTGTATTGACAGTGCAATACCCTACCAGACAGCTCTCCCCATGGAAAATAACTGTAAAAACCAGACATACTGCAAAAAGCAATTTCCTGAAGACACTAGAGAATGAATAGTAGGCAGCCTCTTGTGCTATGTGAACACTTGAAAGAGAAGAGAAGAAGGGTTGTACAAAGAATATTTATGTTTTCATGGCTTTTAGCCTGAGGCTAAGTGCTGTTAGCATGTCACACTCAAGGCAGGTGTCAGTGAAAATATCATAGTCTTCCTGCCTCAGGGGACAAAAAACTGAAGTCAGATAAAACAGGATACTGTAAAAAGTAAAAAGAGGGAAATATTTGAAAGAAACAAGCCCATTGAAGAGAGGATCCCCAAAGGCTATCTACCCACATCTTTCATTGACCTCTTATCTTAGTCAATTCTGTACTGCTATAACAAATTGCCATAAACTGCATAATTTATAAAGAACAAGTATGTATTTCTAATAGTTCTGGATGCTAGGAAGTTCAGTATAAAGGTCATGACAACTTAGGGTCTGGTCTCTCTGCTTCCAAGATGGCACCATGAGCACTGCATCCTCCACAAAGGAGGAATGACATATTCCTCCATGGCCAGAAGCACAGAAGAGAAAGCCTACCCCCTCAAGCCCTTTTCATAGTGACATAATCCATTCATGAGGGCAGAACCCTCATGACCTAAACATTTCCCATTAGGTCCCATTAGGCCCTATCCCCCAACACTGTTGCACTAGGGATTAAGTTTTAGATACATGAATTTTGGAGGACATATTCAGACCATAGCACCCCTGGATAACATATGTGTGGCATAGATTCAAAGCAGATCAGCAAAAATCAAGAAATATAATTGATGCTAGAGCCTCCACTCAAGAAACAGACTTCATATTCCAATCCCAATCAAAATACTAGCCCAATAAAACAAAAGAGACAACAATTATTGTAGAAAAATAGCAAAATCCCCACAACTCAATAATTATAGTGTTCAGAATATAATTCAGAATTTCTTGACATGTAAAAACATATAAGACATTTCAACCAAAAACAAAATCAAACAAGATCAATCCCAAGATGAAAGAGATCTTGGAACTAGCAGGCAATGATTTTTAAAACAGCTCCTATAATTATTCTAAATAAAATAAAACAAAATATGCTCGTGATGAGTAAAGAGATATAAAATCTTAGCAGACACAGAAAGTAAAATGAACACAATGGCGTTTTTATAACTGAAATATACAATATTGGAACTAAAAGTTTCAGAGGGTAGATTTAATGATGCAAGTCCAGAAGAAAGAGATAACAGAGGAAAGAATAAGTAAACTTAGTATCAATTAATAATAATTATCCATTATACTTTAGAGGGAAAAGATGTGGTGAAAATAGAACAGAGACTCAGGACCAGTTAAATATCAAACGGTATAACAGATATATAATTATAACATATATGAATCCCAAAAGGAAAGTAGAGAATGAAACAAAAAATATTTTTATAAATAGCGGCTAAAAATGTCCCAAATTTGATGAAACAAAAGAAAGTTACAGATACAAGGTACTAAATGAACATCAAACAAAATAAACACAAAAGAACCAGCACTTATCCTCCTTATAAATGCCTAACATGAATTAATTATTTAATATTTACAAAACCTTCAAAAGGTAGATAATCTTCATGTTTAGATAGAAAACTGATACACACACACAAACAGACATACACACACAAATGGTTATATACTTGTACAAGATAATCAATAGTCAATCTATAATTTGAACCCAGCAGTTTGAATCCAGAGACCATGCTTTAACTTAGCCTTGCACATATGCTTAACCAGTATTGTGAACTCTTGAAAAAGAAACTGAAATTATGAAACAGAAAAATATTTAATCATATAGAGACAAATACGGAGATGTCTTGTTCAAGAAATATTTGATGAATATTTACCGACTGATCTATGTCTTGGGAAGTTACTAAATTTCATGCATAAAAAATTATGGACACTCAAACTAAAAAAAGCAAGTCATAAGCAAGTTAGAAAATATTACACTGGTCTCAAGCTGTGGTATAGCTGGGAATATAATATATATGAACAATTTTTTTTAAACTACTTGATAAAATCCAGCCAGCTAAATAAAATTAAAAACTTAAGTA